TTGTGTGATTTTTCAAATAAAAATTTTTCGGTTAAGGTTTTGTACACTACATATGGGCACTTCCACCGAAAAGTCCACCGTGGCTCAAAAACTAAAAGTCATCAAAAATAAAATTTCAACTTCTATTATTATAGAAAAAGATTCAAATTTTATTAAAAGCTTTTCTTAACCACTATGATGAGAAATCGGAATTAAAAGTTACAATAATATTTCAGGCATATTTTTGCACCTTTAGTAGCATTTGCTTTTAATAGTTTTTATTATTTTAAAGGCTAATATTTAAATGGACTTTTATCGGAAAATATTTGTTGGAATAATAGTTATTTTAAAACATACAAATATAAGACTTTTAAATGTCACGTTCATCACGTTGAAACATAACTTTTTAGTTGGCATTCAGAAGTATTCAAAACTTTGAATCTAAATTAAGTTTAGTATATAGAACTCAATTTAAAAGAAAAAAAAATAATTCTAAGCGGGGTTATTTTTTTATAGAATTTCAAAGTCTGTCACGTCACGTCACATTACATAAATTTTCTCAAGTGCAACCTTCGAATTGTGAAATATTGTTATTTAAAAAGATGTGATATTTATGCAATTTATTCAATTAGGTGATAGTTATGATTTTTTAGTTGATAAGTGGAAGAAAAGTCACAGAAATTCAACAAATGATATTTTTAAGAAATATATGGAAAAAAGTGATTTTCGGATATCGGCTTAATATGGGCGTTATGGCCGATTATTGTATTATCATCAGAAGGGTCAGTAGTTGTACATTTGAAAGTTTTTTGTGTGTTTGTATTATCAGGATGGCGAAATTTTAGTTATATATCCAAGTTTATGGGTATATGAAATGTGGGCTTTGTATGGAAGCTATGCCTAATCATGGACCAATTTTTAAAAAAAATAGGATGAACGATTTTTGTGTATGTCAAAATTATTTGTGTTGAATTTTATGGTGATATAAGCATTTTTAAAAGTTTTATGTTAATTAATGTTAATTCTTATATTATTCTTATACGGGAGCTATTTTCAACTAAAATGTTATTAAATAGTCGAAATATTTCTCCGATTCCAAAAACTTTCAACAATGTCCGTCCAAAATAAATCTATGGAGTAATTAATTTTCAATAATATTGCAAATTTCATCATTGGAAATTTTTGTCACATCACGTCACACATAACGGCTTGTACAAAAAAATCAGAAAACAATTTTTTAGTTCTAAAAGCTGAACAACAATCAATAAATATCCCAAATTACAATAAAAAAGGTTTTCACCAAAAAGCCAGGTGAAACTCGCAGATTTTTACATTTTTGTCAAAAAAGAAATAAGCAACTTCTATTTCTGTCACGTCACGCACTTTAACTACTTATATCTTAGGGCCATTAAGATCTTCCAATTTATTCTTCCGACCAGTTATAGAGCTATAGAAGCCTTATATAAAAATACAAGAATTTTTAAAAAATATAAATGTATATATATATTGTTCTTCTCTTTGAAACGTACGACCGTGACGTTCGTCACGATGGAAATGCCCATATGTACATTAGGGTGGCCCCAAAATGGAAGTTGCTGATTTTCCTACCGAAAATTAAAATTTTGTTTATTCTAAGTTACCATTTCTCAAATTTTTTTTAAAGGTGTTTTAGAGACGATTACAATGATATACGGCTCCAAAATTATTACAAATGTTATAATTTTTCGGAAAATTTTTAGATTTTTAAAATTTTTACATAGAATTATTTAATTGAAATTATTGCATTATTAACCTAATATTATTTCACCGAAACGGGTTTTTCTGTTTTTCGAAATTAGATATGTTTTGTATTTTATTTAAATATTTTAAACCCAATTTCAAATAAAATTCGATCCAGATTGAATGTTGAAAAACGGAAAAAACAATTTCGGTAAATGTTATTGAGGATTTTTATGTATTAATTTCAACGAATTATATCAAATTCATCTGTGTTAAAATTTAAAAAATCTGAAAATTTTCCGAAGTATTAGAAAATTTCGATTACTTTTTCTTTTACATATAAATTTCTGATATGCCATTGACGACTCTCTAGGACATTTATTATGATGCCAAAATCTTTCCTTTGGAAGAAATATGAAAAATTACAAAAAATACAAAAAAGGTTCTTTTATCCTTTGATACAGCTCACCGGCATACAGCCGAAACGGCATCTTGGAATTAATTAATTTTAACATAGGCTTGCCATTGGAGGGATGTTATTTTATTTGATTCCAAATTCACTACTTCTGAAGTCATTCTCAAGAAGTAATTTTTATGTTCCTCTTTTAGAAGTTATTTGTAAGTGAAATTGTAGTATTATAGAATACAACTAATTTGCCTTAAATAATATTAATTAAGGACAATAGACACATTTAATACAAAATCCCAAAAAGTAACATTTTTAACTCATAAAAATGTAAGAACAATAAAGCTATATCTTCAGCACTGAAAAAGTAGAATTAAATAAACATCACATCCACAGAAGGTAAAAAATTCACTTAGTGCTACTTTTGAAGTGGTGGTAAATGTTATTCTTTTGGAAGTACTTCGTTTTATTTTTGCTGGGTAGGTTTTAGATAATTTTAAACGACGTGCACATTGTTATATATGAAGCAAATTTATTTTCAAATGCTGGGATCCGCAGATCATTAAAGCAGAGAAAACTATATACATTAAATAGACCCATATTTGACACTAACTCCAATATAAATTCTCTTAAGGGTGATATTAAGACAAATTCAACAAAAAACAAGTAAGATTCGACTGTACCGAATCTTAAATACGCTCCATCAGCAAGCTACTTGTTATGAAAACCAATTTAACTGTCTAATTTTAGATAACTAAACAGAAGTTTTGGTTCCGTAGTGAGAGTCCAGAAAAATTTATACTAAGTCGTTCGGATGTGTACCTTGTACGGGTGCTATGACTTATTATGGGCCGATCTTGCCGATGTCAAATGATTTGTATATTTACAAACGTCATTCCTGTCGAGTTTTACTCCGACGTCGATATTTTTAATGAACTAAATCGTTTAAGAAATTTTGAAACCATGTTGATGACCTTATATCGGAGCTATGACTAATAATAGGCCAGTTTGAAAACATTTTAGCACAATGATTTATCTATACACAGAACATACACATTTCGAATTTTATCCGGATATAATAATTTAAAGTGATTTTGTAGAAGAAGACCAATTATGGACTGATCTATAAAAAATTCCGTGTAATGAGTTTTATATATACAAAATACACATACATATGTTGAATTTTATCCCGATAACTTTGATTGTCAATGTGCGTTTAAGTAATTTTCGGAAATGGTCCTCTTATGGGAGTTGTGACCAATTATGGACCGATCCGGGAAAATTTCGTATAATAATAACTTTACTAATTAATGAAATATGTGCGTTTAAGTGATTTTCGGAAATGGACTATATATAGAGTGATTCTTATAAAAGCAAAACATATTTGTGTCGAATTTTATCAAGATAGCTTTATTTGACAATGAAATATGTGCGTTTAAGTGATTTTCGGAATTGGACCTTATATAGGAGCTGTGACCTATAATGGACCTATTAGGAAAAAATTTGTAGAATGATTTATTTATATATTCAAGTCCAATTTTATCCCAATAGCTTTATAATTGAATGAAATACAAGGATTTTCCGAAGTGAACCTTAAATGGGAGCTATGACCAATTACGGGCCAATCAAAAAAAATTGTATAGTAATTCATATATAGACAAAACATTTCGTATAGTAATTCATATGTATATAGACAAAATACATTTGCGACGAATTTTATCACAATAGCTTTATTTATCAATGAAATTTGTGAGTTTAAGTGATTTTCGGAAGTGAACCTTAAATGGGAGCTATGACTAATTGTGGACCGATACAAATCTACGTTGGTAGTGTGATTTCTGTTCATATTATATTTGCATGTACAAAATTTTGTGTTGTTACCGATATATTTGTGGGAGTTATTAACGCTAAACTAATTTAATACCTTTGTATGGGGGCTATGGGGAATTTTCGATCCATTGTTACGATTTTGAACATACTTGATCCCTGGCAGAAAAAAAGTAATGTGGGACAAAATTCATCGAAATATCTTTGGTAGCTTCTGAGAAAACTACTTAAGAATTGGGAAAAACGTTATTCTTTCGAGATAGTCTGAAAATGTTACTCATAACTTTTTACTACGTTACTCATAACTTTTTACTACGTTTGCTGAATACCAAACTACTTAGGACAATATTGGGTGAATTTGGTTGATTTCCTTCGCTTAGTTTTATCGTGAGCGTGTTTTACACAGACAGGCAGACGAACAAATAGTCAATTTCAAAATATTTCATATACTCGAAATGTACTTACATATTATGTAAGTTTCTGACTAACGCCGAATTTTTTAACTTGATTTCGAACTTTAGATTATATTGTAATCATAAATGTTTAATTTTGGTTTATCCAGGCCACGAAATCCCGTTCTAAGTAAAACTTGTAATAAATACTTAACGAATTTGTTAAGCTATAACAAACAAATCTTTTGGAATAAAAACCTATCAAAGCTATTCCGAAATGGCTGTCGGTGATAATATTGCGATTTGAATTTGAAAATATAACTGCTTTAAAAAGTATTTGGAATTTATAAAATTAATAACCATTTTATTAAAAAAAAATCTCACATTTAAACACTTTATCAAGATTCTAAAAATTAAACTGTGTTTTCGGAAGAAAATTTTTAAAAATCTTTATTGTATTTTTAGATTAAGAATTATAATAATGAAATCATTTAAATAAATTTTTAACGCTCCCCCTATAATTATTTTAAAAGTACATACATACATAATGCATTATATTAAAAATTTTAAGAACAGTTAGTTTTCTATTGTAATTTTACATACATAATAAAAATTATTTACAATAATTAAGTTAAGATTTGCAATTTCAAAATACACCACATTCTATTAAACTTTGTTGTAGCTACTTAATTTTAGGATTTTTTTATTTGATTATTTCTGAAATTTACATTAACTAACTTAATTGATAATATTCGGGTACAAAATCATTTGCTAAATTACTTAAAAAATTAAAATCCGATGAACTATTGGAATTATCAACTAAACCATTAAGATTTCCACCCGGTCCAGTTTGTGGAAAATTTGCATTATGGGCGGGCATTGTGGGCGGTTGAACATTGGCAGGATTAACAAAGTTATTGTTAGGACCACCGGTTGGTATTTGAATGTGTGGTGGTGGATCGGTATCTAAGAGAACATCTCCAGACATGGGAGGGACGACATGATTATCTGAAAATTTTACAAAAGACATATTAATTTTTAAGAAATTGTAAGTTGTCCGGGATGTAGAAGCGTCCGAATTATTGGAGTGACCGGACAGGTGCATTTCCGGCCTGTCAAAGTTGTACTGTAATTTAATATAATAATGTAATTTAATAAATAAAAAATTTTATGTTTTAATAAATCATTACTACACATCCTCTTTTTTAATAATTTTCACTACTATAATAGTCCGGACAAGTCTAAATAATTCGAAACGTGCCCAAAAATTTATGTGTTCGGATTGCCAAAGTTGCACTGTAATAATTTTTTTTCCCCCCTTCTTCAATAAAAATTTAGTCATTAAATAAATTTTTCTCCAAAAACTCTAATTTTGTCCGATAATTTTTTATGAAAACAAAAATATATCGAAGAAAAGTCTCCACATTTATCGATTATTTTATATTTATCGAAAAAAAGTTTCCACAACGTGGAACTTTTTTTCGCAGGATTTTTTAACATTTTTTTTTTATTTGGAAAGATTATATATATTTTTTAAAAATTTTTAAAATTAATATTCGGTGGGTCGTGCTCCCACAATTTTAAAAAAATTTTTTATATATTTTTTTTTTATTTTTTTTGTTATTTTCAAAATATATGGTTTGTGCCTGCAATTTATTCGGCAGTACGATAGGTATACTTACCACTCATTGGTTGTTGATGTTGCTGATGGTGAGTAAAATGTCCGTGTTGATTATAACTGTGGGGATTATACTGCTGTTCCACACCATGATGTTGGCCGTGATGATGATGATGGTGGTGATGATGATGATTATTATAGAACGGTTGTTGGATTTGGTTATGTGCGCCAGTTGGCAACGATGGCGGCGGTGGTGGTGCCGCTTCCATGTGTATGCCCAAGGCTGTAGCAGTGGCTGAATTAATATGAGGCATACTGTGTTGCTGCTGTTGTTGCTGCTGCTGATGATGGTGATGGAATTCTGTAGGTTGTTGGAAATTTATTTGGTCATAATAAGCTCCATTGGGACCTTGAGTTTTGGGATCATAGAAATTGCCGCTGGCATCAAATTCTCCAGGTATTTGTTGTTGCTGTTGTTGACTTAGTGGAGGACCAGCATAGTTGCCACCATGGTGAGTGTGGTGGTTATAGGCATTGTATTGCAATGCCTCACCAGTGTGGTGATTATAGAAAGGTTGTTGTAATTGCTGAGCAGTAGCTGTGGTAGATGTTGGTGCTGGTGGATGATGGAAAACATTGGGACCATGGTGTAGTTTCGTCGCCACTTCGTTCCCTGACTTGAGGTGTGGTGAACTTTGTGAAACTGCTAAAAAGTCTGGTTTGGGACTTAGATATTCACCATTGGGTACTGGCATTGTTGAGTTTTGTAATTGCTGCTGTTGCTGTTGTAATCTGTGGGCAATATGCTGTGGTGAACCAGCAGCTGCGGCGAATTCAATATCATATTTTCCATAGTACTCTTGTGAAGGTGTTTGTGGTGGATGTTGTTGCTGCTGTTGTAGTTGTTGTTGTGGTGACTGCAATTGCTGTTGTGGTTGCTTATTGTTATAGTAACTGGGATAGAATGATGAATTACCACCACCGTCCGCTATATTGTTGCTATTGGCAGCTGCATTTGAATTCTGATAACGACGTTTACCGCCGGCACCGCTATTACTATTGGCCGTTGCTTGACTGTGTTGGGAAGATGTGTCCGAGTCACGTCTATAGCCCGAACCAATGCCAATTGAAATGGACGTATCGTAGCCACTAAATTGTGAGATCTTGGTGGAAGTCGAAACGACTGCTTCCTTTTTAATGTGTTGATCATCTTTTTTCTTGACTTTATTGATGGGACCATCTTCGATGTCATCATCTAAACTGCCACTGGAAGCAACGCTAGAGTCAGCACTAACCATATTAGAACCGGACACCGCATTACTGCCACAAAGATTGGAAGATATGCCGGATTCTAATGTAGAATTGGGTGTTACTGTAAAAGTAAAGAAATATTTATTATATACAGTTTTTAATTAAAAAAAAAAAAACAAATAACTTACAGCTACCAGCACTGGCATTGTTATTCGTAGCACTTGGTGTATTATTGTTATGACCTCTTGAATTTGAAGTTGAATCTGGTATGTCGTCGGATGGCAGTTCGCAGCCTTGACATGATTTCTTTGAATTGGAATCTGTCGGGAAAATACACACAATACATAATTAATTGGAGTATATTTTATATTACATATATAGTTTAAAATTATTTTTATAAATTAGATCCTTCAAAAAGTATTCCTATATAATTATAAGGGTTTAAGTCAACTTTATGATACCCTAATAAAAGCAAAATAAGTATTTAATGTTAGATGCTGATGATGATTTTACTAACTAAATTAAACGATTATATTGTTGTATAGGGTGCTTGAAAGGGTATCATTTATATGTATGTTTTCAAACGATACCAAATAAAAACAAGAAACATCAAAGATACATTTTTTTGTACTGACAGTGATTGATACGCTTTAGTTTAATTTTGGTCTTTTTTTGCTTTCAAATAAATTTGTTAAATTAAAGGTGGTAACTTTAAGTTTAGTGGTATATTTCTTGATTTTTTTTATTTTTTTATAGAAATTGTTTTTATAGCTAATATTTTATGAAGTAATCACAAGAGTCAAATTTTCAGTATAAAATCACTAACCATTTGTTAAGATATTACTCATGTTGTACATACATATGTATGTGAATTGAAATACTATTATGAATTCGAATATTTCTTATTGTTAAAAAATATGTAGTTCATTTTTCTATAATACTTATTAATAACTTTTAATTAAAAAGTAAATATGTACTTGAGTCAATTGTAAAGTCAAACTTCCCGGTTTATCGGAAAATGTATGGAAGTGTGTGTGTGTTCTTGAAGACAGTCATGTGCTAGGTAAAAATATACGGGAACGAGTTCCCTAATTTCAGAGGAACACATTCCATTATAGTATCGATAGAACAGTGAAATACACCCCACGTTGCGACGGTGCTTCAGTGAATCAATAAAGTTGGATACCCTACTGTCACCGATAAGTACCTTCGCCCTTTCTTGTACGCGGTCGATTAGCTCCAAAATAGACTTCGAAGATCCGGCCCATACATGGGTGTTGTATTGCATTTTCAGTCGAATATAAGTGGTGTAAATAGTAAGAAGATCAGATGGAGTAAAGTATGTCTTACACCGTTTCAAAAAACCGAGACACTTGAGTGCTTCTTTCGACAGTTGGAAAATGTGTTTAGTACATCGGACATCGCACTGTATTTTCATGCCCAGAACATCAAGAGTTTCTGATTCCTTAATATTTACATCACCCATAAATATAGATGAACCAACATTATCTTCCATACGTTTGTGTGTTAAAAAACAAAATTGAGTCTTGCGGGCGTTAAAATCGACTCTGTTAACACGACCCTATTCAGAGATTTTTTTCAAGTCGTGATTAAGCGATTCATTCATATTGCGGCTCATTGCCCCAATCTCTAGAGGGCTTGGCCTATAATTAAATGAATAGGAATGGTAGATATTGCTGTCATCGGTAAAAGAGTAGATAGAGTTGGAAGTTTGACATAGAAGGTCATTTATGAAAATAAGAAATAGGGTAGGAGAAAGAACGGATCCTTGCGGTACCCCTGAATTTATCTTGAACTCGTTTGATGAGATCCCATCAATAAAAACTCGTATAGTGCGATCACTGAGAAAGTTCGAAATAAATCGAGTGAAGTTATTACCGACATTATTTGACGAATTTTTCAGATGATGCCTCAGATTTTTGCCCATATCTTCGTTATCTCTGCACCCATTTTGCATTAAGAAATGTTGAAATTTAAGAAGGCCTTGAACTATAGTATTTACTAGGATATTATAATATGAGGGGAATTCGACCGAGATTGGATATATCATTGGAAATGAAAGGAATTGGACCTAGAATTAAGACTTTATTGCAGTTAGGTGTTATAATTATATAGGTATATAGGTAGAAAATTGTGATCAATTGTACTTGATCACGAATGCAGAAATTCGAAGTATGATTATAGTTTTTCGATTATTCACTACAAAAATATACATAAACAAAAATAAATCGTGTTACACTTACTACTATCAGACTGATCATCATCACCTTTTAGACTGTCCTTGTTGTCTTCATCGTCGGTTTTCGAAAGAGTTTGACGTTTGTGTTTCATGCGACGATTCTGAAACCAAACTTTTACCTGTAAAAACACACAGAAAACAAAATTTATGAAAATGAACATTTTTAACTAAGTAGCAGAAAATGGACGTTAATTAAAAACTAAAACTGGAAGAAACAGAACTTGCTGGCAATTAAAAGGTAGTTGCCATTTGTGCAAAATTAGTTTACTTTTTCCCTTATTTTGAGTTTCATCATTAAGCACAAGGAAACCATTATTAAATAAACACTTTAAAGAATGTAAAAGGTACAAAAGTGAAAAAATAAAACAATAAAAATAACTCACCTGCCGTTCAGTTAAATCTAAACTGGCTGCAATTTCAATTCTTCTTGGCCGGCATAAATATTTATTGAAATGAAATTCCTTTTCCAATTCCAACAGTTGGGTGTTTGTGTATGCGGTCCGTAAACGTCGTGGCAGGCCATTCTCTGGAACGAATTCAGCTGCAATTGAAAATTGCATTTTCTTGATACATGAATAAATGAGATTTTGAACCAACACACACTCACTCTCACACAAACACACACAGAAATAAAGACAACCTGCTACCAGACCGATATTTAATTTTGTTTAAGTAATATATCTTGCTTTAAACTTGATTTTCTTAACATTTTATTTATGCAACATGCAACATTTGAAAAAAACTGCTTTCTATTTAATGATAAAGTCGGTTGTTGGTCTGCTGCCACTTGAAATACTAATAGGTGACTTAATGTTTGGGTTGAAGTTGTGGTGTTTGTGGGGTGGTGTTGTTAAGAAATATTGCATTCATTTCGTTTTTTTTACATTTAATTAAGACGGTTTTAAAATTTACATTTGAAATTAATAAAAATAATTAACTTTTTCGATTACATTTGATATCAAGGAAAATTCTGCTAAACATTAGCAATACATTTAATAATTTTCTAAAATGTTACGATAAAGTTCTTTAAGGTTCTTGATTTCATGTTTTAAGTTTTGTTCAAGCAATCCATCAGTATGTCACTATGCATAACTAATTTTTGTATGAACATGGCGAAATAATTTTATTTCAGTGAACACTTATCCCTCGCAAAATTGTTATCTTTTACAACCCAGACACAATTTTTAAAACAGACGCACAGTTATGAACGAATTTATTCATAAAAGTAAAAATGGTTTTAATGCAACCAATTTTATTTACCATATAACTGAAAAGAATCGTATCATTTTAATGTAACATTAGGGTGGCTCTTGTGGTTGTGTATGATAATTTGAATTTATTATTACACTTAAAATTTTCATCGAATTGGATAAAAAATACACGCCTCAGCGTTCTGAAGTTTTTAATACATATTTACACATACAGGGAATAATCCCTTTACTTTTGTAATGGAAATGCATTTTGGATCATCGATTTAAAAAATCTCCCTAAGGCTTAAAAATTCAAACTTTAACAGGGGGTAGGTTAAGATTCCTTGATTTGCAGATCCGGTGGTACCGCCAGGTACCGCCAGGAACCAACCAATAAAAATTAAGTTTTTTGTTATTTAAATATTTGTCAACTTCATGTTATGACTTTTAAAATGTTTTTAATTGCAAGCGGCACTAATTTCTTTGATCGGTGTTGGAATAAAGTTTCATTTGGCTTGTCCAGGTTCAAAAGAATGCAATTACCTCAAAAAAATTTCTTTTGTGATATTGTGTACTTTTGACAAAAAGTTTTAGTTATAAATCGACAAAATTTTAAACAGAAAAAATATTTTACGGATCGTTGCCTAATATTATTGTAATAATAGGTATTTGAAGTGATTTTACTTCTTTAATTAGAGGGATTTTTTTTAAATTTCTGGTTGGTTCTTTAAGGGACCACCAGGCACCCAGACTTCAAATTTTTTCATATATCAGATTATATAAATCGATATTTTTGGGATGTTTTTTGATTGATTTATTTTAAAATGAAGCATAGCATTTGTGCCAGTAGTCTGTTATTGCTTGATGAAATCTTGTGTTAAAATTCGAGTGGGAAAAGATCGACCAAACAATTTTGGGGTTGAAATTGCTTCGAAACGTCGGCGTACAATCTCTGTTTATTGCCAACTAGCTATATTCACCTAGATCACATAATACTCTTACCAAAATTTATAATATAAGGCATAACGCGATCAAAAAATCCAAATTATTCATCCCTAACGAAAGTTCGATGTCGAAAATGTCACATAAAATCATATTTTTCATCAGAAAAGAGCTATTTTATATATTTTATTTATATCCCAATATAATTATCTTCATTAACAATGAAATTGCTTATTATTGCCTTTAAATTACGTTTTACAATATTTATAATTTAGAAGTCCGGGTGCCTGTTGGTTCCTCTAGGAACCAACCAGGTATTTTTCACATAACACAGGTTATGAACAAAATTGTAGAACAAAAGTTGCTTAGAAATGTAAGTTTTATAACATTAATTTTTTTCCGCTCAAACAAACAAATCAGGCTATTAGGTTTAAAATATTATTACAATTTATGTTAATTCGTTGGATTTAAAAAATACAAGATACATATGTATTAAAAAACTTGAACTTTGTCCTCAGTGGGGAGTTAGGTTTCCCGATTTTGATGAAATATTCATTAAATATTTAAACCGAAATTTCTTGAAATTCGAAAGAAAACAATAAAACACCCTAATATCTATGCTTTACTATCAATGGTAAAAACTTTTTCTAACAACGTGCGAATGGTACTGACTACGCGCCTTAAACAATTTCGTCTTTTACTTGGCGGCTTGATAAGTAAGATGTTGTTTAAAACATTAAGTAATTAACCAAAAAAAAAAAAAAAAACAAAATTCTAATCAATCAATCAAGTTTCATTGAAAACAAAAAGAAAAATTGTGAATTTGTCTGTTTCAGACTCACGTTTGGCACTGTTGCTTCGGTGTAGCTTTAGCTTTGACTGCTACTGTTTGAAAATTTTGTTTTCATGTCTGTCTGTAGCGTCGGTTTGTTTTACTTAATGAATTTTCATTAAGTGGAGACTTTTAATTAATTCTCCACAAAGAAATACAGAAAAAACAGTAACGTACTAATTGAAGGCAAACAGATGTTTACTTTATAAATATTCTATGAATAGTAAAATAATTTATTGATTTTTTTAATAAAACAAGTGAATGAAAAGTGCTGCAGGCAGATAGATCGCTTACGGAGTCTTTTTTTGTTGGAATTTTTAACGCTTTGAAGATCTAACAGTTTTATTAAGATTTACACAAGGAATTTTGTTCCAGAAATTAAAAAAGCTTAAAAATGACCTTGAAGTTAGATAATTTAATAACAAATATTTTTAAAAAAGCCTTAAATACTTAAATTATAAATTTTTAGCAACTACCATCTATATTTTTATACACACAGAATGAAAATAGTATCTGAAGTAAATCATTATTTAATAGGTAATAAAATATCTAAGTATTGGTGCTGTGTATACTTTTTATCTCTCTATTTGTAATGACTCATTTAAGTATTCATTTGTAAGCTAGAGTGGAAAGTCTTGTCTAAAATAATGACTTAAAATTCCAGTAAGTACCCAGCTAGAACTTTGGGTACTCTGTAATAATTTGTACTTACACAACAACTTCTTTTTCAATGACTACTATATAAAGTCTGCATTACTTTTCAGTAATGACTTACATATAATCAGAATCCTCAGCACTTTATTTTAAGTTTTTCTCTTTTATTTACACATTTTATTTGATCGCGCAATAGCAACTGTTTTTTACACACATAAAAATAAACAAGTAAGAATTTATAGTCGGGCATGGCCCTACACCAGTGATCATGGTACAAATGGGAGAATCCATGTGAAAGCGGACAGCAGTCGGATTTACTATCTCCGATTTTAATGAAACTTACCACACATATATGGGCAATTCCATGAAAAGGTAAACAACGATTGAAAAAATAAAACCCCTATAACTTTTGCATTTTTGAAGATAATTCAACAAAAATTAGTATATGATCTTTTGTATGACCACTGACGAAGACTGTTGAAAATTTGGAAATCGATCTATTTTTACACCACGCTCCCATACAAACGGACCCGCAAATATCACTTTTTAGCTCATGATTCTGTTAATTATAATACTATCCAAATAATACCTCCAAAATCGGCAGATCTATAATGTATATAAGCCTAAACCATTATGACGATTTTCATAACGATTGGACCTTATTTGACCCTAGTTCCATCCAAAGTCACATATGATATCGCCATATTTTAATCCATATTTTGGAAAACATGATTCCGAATGGGATGATTCCTTTTGCAAACATAGCATTCTCAGAATGGAGCAGAATGTCAATATTGTTTTCCAAGTACTCCCATTTTTACCAAATTTATACTACTCTGAAGGCGTACGAACGTCACATACAATCGTATGGAATTGCCCATATGTAATATATATAATATGTTTCACATATCATTGACTTTTTGAAACTCATTCCAATGTAAAAACATCGCGATTAGAAAATTTTAAAATATGTTAAAATTTCATAAAAGTACATACATATAATTGCCCATTACTCTGAAACTATTTAAAGTCCAACATAGTGTTTGATTTCATATTAAAGCCAAATATTTTACTTCCAAAACGTTAAAGGTCAATTTTCATAGTGTATAGTTACATATTTGTAAGCATATGCCTCCAATGTCAAGTATATACCTCCAATGTCAACATGATGTTAATATAATAAGTTAAAATGCTAATAAAGAAGTAGTACAAAACGGCTTTTTAGCGTTGTAACTCATTACTTTTCAATATAAGTTTTTGCTGGGTTCGTCATAAAAATTAATTTAATAAAACTTTTAATGGAACTTTAATGTACAAATTTTATACTTTTTAACTCGGATTAATAATTCTACAGTGTAATTTTCAAAACCTAAAACTAAATTTCACATTTCTTTTTATCTAAATATGAATACGAGCATAAATATTCGAATACAAAAGTAGAAAATATGATTTCCTATGGAGTTGGCAAAAGAACGACATGAGAAACTAGAACAGATAAAACTACATATTGCCAGGCAAAAACAAGGAAATATTGAGAAATGTAGGAAACTCCATTGAAATTCATATATGTATGTATATATATAAATGTGTATATTAGTTACATACATATCTATTGAATGTAAGTGGGAAACTATGCAGTTTTAAAACTTTTCTATAGAATTTGAAATTCAATACAATTTTATCTTGCATTTTCTTTACATGTTGTGGTAGAATATTAAAATGGAAATGCATGAGTTTGGTCACAAAAGATGTTTGGAATCATTTTCCTATTTTGAATGTGAAACAACAAGGAAATCATCAACATGCAACAGCAATGTATATAAGTATGTATGTAAGTAAGTATTGACAATGTAAAATGCAATCAGAGGCAAACAGAAACAGTTATGTGGTGACATGCATTCAAATGAA